TTGGCGCGTAGGAAGCCAGTGCGCCCTGAAATGTCTAATTCCCCCTTTACCAGATGAAGAGCTCTGTGAGGAGGGGGACAGTGGCTTACTTTCAAGTAAACACAGCTAGGCTGGAGCTGGAAAGGTGGGGAAAGTTCAGCATCCATGCAGAACTAGGAGGGAGAAGGTGCTTTCTTTCCACAGGAACTGGCAGGAGAGGGAGGAGGCATGTCATTCTCTCTCTCTTATGCCTCCCTTCCCAGAGCTCCCTTTGCAGTGCTGCAGCCTGCACAGATCCCTGCCCTGGGGCTGTGTTTGCAGGGGACGGAGGCAGGTGCCTTGCACCTTTTTCGGGCCAGTCAGCTGGCTTGGCATCTGGCTTGGCATCTGGCAAAGCTGGTGGCTGGAGCAGGGCACTTGAGGCAGCTGTGAGGTGGAGGCGGCACCAGCATCAAACATCCTTAGATCCAAACACTATAGCCAATTATTGCCTAGTTTCAAATATTCCGTTCCTGGGCAAAGTGATTGAGTGGGTGGTCACAGAACAACTTCATTTTTTTCTAAAAAAAAATGATATCTATTGAAAATTTTAAAATTACAAAAGAGAACAAAGCAGAAAAAGAGAAAGAAAAAACAAAGAAAAAACAAACCACATCAAACAATACAAATTCAAAAAACAAAAATACACCACAAACACTCAAAAACAAATCCATCATTCTCAAATCCTCAACTGTCATTACCTTCTTTCTTTGACCTCCTCCTCCTCCCTTTTTTGTATCCTAGTTGTTAATTGTCTCAGCAAATCCTTTCCATATTTCATAATATTCTGTCATTACATTACCTTAATCTATTTTAATCTTATCTTACTATAAAAACCTTAAAGCTTAAAACTTAAATCTTATTTTTACCAGCTTCTCATAACCATAATATTCTTACATAATTCTTTAAACATTTTTGCTAAAGCCAAGTAATTTCATTCCAACATTTTTCTAACATTCATCAATTTTATAAAACAATCCTAGTAGTAAAAAAAAAGAAATAAAAACAATCCAATCTTCATCCAGCGTCCCTTCCTCCTGGTCCCGGCTTTTGTCAGTCCTTATTATCCCATCGATCTAGCGCATTAACCTGGTAACCTTGTATCCGAGGCCCTTAAGTCTCTTCCATGTCCCTTCCGCAGCTCTTCTTCAAATTTATAACTGTATTTTCCTTTGTCTCCTGCTCCTTTCACTCGTGGGAACTCCAGCTTAACAATGTTTTTGACCCTTCTCGACAAATCAGCCCCTTTTCCATAGTCCACACTAAACTCCATGTGGTATTTAAGAACATGTTTCAAAATCCCTCCAAAATTAAGAGCCCCCACAACCCCAAACATCTCACGGCCCATTGCCAGACTTGAAAGGTCCAAACATCCCTGCATAGGGGGGTCTATCCAACCCCCCATTTCCAAACCAAACCAAACCAAACTTTATCTTTCCAAATCTGGCTTTTTCCAAGTTCATTTGTCAAGTCCAAAAGCTCATGTTCTTGTTGGGCCACAGCTCCCTTCATCTCTGGCGCCCAAGATTCAGTAACGTCCTCTTCCCTCATCTGTTCTGTCAGGGCACACTCCTGATTTAATTCCTGGGTGGGCTCCATATAATTTCCCACTGCCTGTTCAAAATTTCTGATCGCATCAGTCATCAAATCCGTCTTCTCATGTAGCTGTTCCAGTAGTGCATTTGTTTTACAGAAAGCACGCAACAGAGCTTCTGAATACATTGCCCTGCAAGGTCAGAAGTCTATTCCCACGATTGTAATCTGTAACAGCTGCAAGCTCCCCAGAGTTGGTTACAGTTTCACAGTCTCCCTCTAGGGGGGAAACTTCTATTTGTTCTTTCTTTTAAAGAAAAGTCTAACAACAAAGTTTCCTTTTTCAGATATTTTGTCAATATTTGTTCCTTTAAAATGCGAAGGGGAACAATGGAATCAATGTTTCTCTTCTTATAGCTATCTGTCAAAAACGTTTGTCTCTGGTCAATGAGCTTCAAAAAACGTCAGTCCTGACACCCCGCTCCAGGATCAGGACGGTGGAAAGTTACTTTACTTTACACTCACTTCTGCAGGTTTAAACAGTCCGAAAAATCCCCCTCTTCTCCTGCTTCCGAAGGGGTTCAACAATTTTAAATGATGAAAGTTAATCTTTTACAAGCGATTTTCTGAGCTCTAGTTTGCCATGTCTTTGCTTTAATCTATCTACAAAGAAACGGAAGGCTGACTTCCTGTTTAGACCTTCCCGTTTCAGTGCCAAATTGAGATAAACTTTTAAGTCCAATTTTCCTTTCTGCTCGCAAGTCCTTATTTAAAGTCCAATTGTCCGAAATTTAAGTACTCACGGGTGATTATTTTAGAAGCCAAATTGTCCCAGGAAAAAGGCAGCGCTCTCCGGCAACGCCTGTGCGGCTTCGCTCCACGGAAGAAGCAGTTGACTCTCAGCACCGCGCCACTTCCCCCTCTTTGCTCCGGAGCCCGTTAGTGGGTTCTTTTGCGGGTTGGGGGGGCGCTAAAGGTGCCCGCCGAGTCCCATGGTCACAGGCTTCATCCGCCTGTGATTTTTGAAAGGGTCCCCACTTTGCCGTAGCGGAAAAGACCCGTTTCGCGTGGAGCCAGTCCCTCCAGATCAGAGGGAGTCAGCCATTGCCGATGGCGCCACCCCAGAAGTCCGATGGCGCCACCCCGGAAGTGTCACAGAACAACTTCAGACATGAGTGGAGGATGCAGAGTATTTGGACTCCTTCCAATTGGAAGTCTCATCATGGGACTAAAGCCGCCCTGGTCATGCTAGTTGATGACCAGGGACAGAAGTGAAAGCTGTTTCCTGGTCCTGTTGGATCTCCCAGTGGCTTATGATACTGTCAACCAGGGCATCCTCCTTGACCATCTTGGAGGGCTGGGAGATGCAGGCACTGTTATGCCGTGGTTCCGCTCCTTCCTCCTGGACCATGTGAGGGATGAGTGATCACTTGGGAGCTCACTTGTGGGGTGCCTCAAGGCTCTGCCCTCTCCCCCATGCTTTTTAACTTCTATATGAAACTGCTGCAGTAGATCAATAGGGGGGTTGGGCTAGGTGTTCACCAATATGCAGATTATACCCAGGTCTACCTTTTGTTTAAACTGGAACCAGTGATGAATGCCCTGTTTAGGTATCTTGAGGTAGCTGGGGGTGGATGGCCGTTAAGAGATTGAGACTGGATCCCAACAAGACAGAAATATTGTTTCTGAGGGACAGGGGGAGGGCAGGTGTTAGAGATTCCCTGGTCCTGAATTTGGTAGCTGTGTTCCAAGTGTGCAGCCTGGGAGTCATTTTGGAGTCACAGCTGTCCATGGAGGCACAAGTCAATTCTGTGTCCAGGACAGCTGTCTACCAGTTCTATCTGGTGCAATGGCTGAGACCCCACCTACCCTGTCTCACCAGACTGGTACATGCTCTGGTTATCTCCTTCTTGGCCTACTGCAATGCACTCTACGTGGGGCTACCTTTGAAGGTGACTCAGGAACTACAAATAATCCACAACGTGACTGTCAAACTGGTGACTGGCAGCAGCCATCAGGACCATATAACACCAGTCCTAAATGATCTACATTGTCTCCCAGTACATTTCTGAGAACAATTCAAAGTGTTGGTACTGGCCTTTAAAGCCCTAAACATAGGATTGCCAATTCTGATGAGCAAAAAAGGACACATTTACCAACCTCTACTTTTAACTACAGATCACTATGACGACTCTTATTTTAAATACCTTTACTATATGTAGGCTATAGAAGCTGTGATATATTGCATATTTCCTTTAAGATAGCACAAAGAACCACCTTAGAATTTGCTAGCAAACACAAATTCAAGAGCTAAGACATAACACTTAGTGGTCCACAAATTCTGGGCAGCTTTCCTAGCCAACCAAGTATCAGTGGTTGCCAGGAGCCTGACCCTCATCCAAGACCTTATTCCTATTCATGTGCTTAGCCCCTGAAACAATTGTTCTCAAGTAGCATTCCATGCTCTGTTTCTTTGGGTGGGGGTTACAGCATTAAAAACAAAATTAAAAATAATTTAATTACATTATGCATAGCTACGGCCCTCTTTTTCAGCTTGGAGGTTGAGAGAAGGCTGGGAGTCATTCTCAGTTATGATGAAAAATATATATATATATACAGTGGTGCCTCGCAAGATGAAATTAATCCGTTCCGTGAGTCTCTTCGTCTTGCGGTTTTTTCGTCTTGCGAAGCACGGCTATTAGCGGCTTAGCAGCTCTTAGCGGCTTAGCAGCTATTAACGGCTTAGCGGCTTAGCAGCTATTAACGGCTTAGCGGCTTTAAGAAAAAGGAAACAAACTCGCAAGAACTCGCAATACGTTTCGTCTTGCGAAGCAAGCCCATAGGGAAATTCGTCTTGCGGAACGACTCAAAAAACAGATAACTCTTTCGTCTAGCGAGTTTTTCATCTTGCGAGGCATTCGTCTTGCGGGGCACCACTGTATGGATGCCCAATGTAATTGCGGAGATGGTTCCTTCTTGTCTCCAGCTTCAAGATGGAGGTCAGGAAGGCTTGTATTGGCACTGTGTGTCCAACACTGAGATATGCAGGGCTCATCTCTGCAAATGTGCTCTAGAAGCCTCCAAATCACAAGCCCTATCACCCTCACCAGTTCAAAGGATGAGAAGAAAGCTAGAGCTAACCATGCTTGCTGAAAACAGCTTATCTCCTCAGTAGCACTACTCAAGAGTGGGGCAATTACAAAAAAAGGGCACAGCAAAAAAGTTTACTAGATAAAGTCAGAGCAAGAACAAGTGGGGGTGGTGGGAGATTCCTGTTAAGGATTTATGATCTTCGAACCATAAAAAGGGGTCTGGCATTCTTTCACTGCAAGTGCTAGGGGCCATAAATCAGCAGAGTGACACACGTTATTCTGAAGTGCATAGGAGCTCTAGCCCATGGAGTAAAACAAACAATAGAGACAATAAAGTTCAACAAGTAATTGCTTTACTTGCTGGTCATAAACACGTAAATGGTTTCAGCTATATACACAGGCTTTCACCGCAGCCGCTGGTGAAGGTACACTTAAAGTTCCAAGGTGCAAAATTTCTTTCTCTCCGTGTTGTCAGCTTGGAGAGATAAAACAGACTGAGAAACAGATCACTGTGTTCTGCAGAAACTGTGCATGTCCAGAAAACGGTTTCCATAGAAAATGTCCTTGGATAGACAAAACAATCAGTACTTCGCTGCTTCTTGAATCTTCTATCAATTTCTAGGAATGAATGAACATTTGCACTTACCCCAGCAAATCCTTCCTCTTCACACACAGTCCCTTCACTTGCTATAACCCCCACACCAAGCATTTTTCTCAGCAAACATAGAAACAGGGAAGGCAAACGGAAAGAGAGAGAGAAAATAAACTCCCCTTGTCCTCTTTTAACTGCCGCTCACCTGTGTCTTCTTGCAAACATTCCCAGTTCTGGCTACTGTGGAAGCAACAGGAAACTCTGCTAGGTTTCTAATTTAAATTTCATACACACACACCCGTCCCCGTGTGAGACAGCCCAAATCTCACGATGCTTACTGCTTTCCCTTTTCTGGGTTGGTCAGTGGAGGAGGCAGTGAGCCTGAACCAGCTCCAGATGCATGCACCGGCAACTGGCAACGTTGCAAAAGTAACTATACGCAGCCAGGTTGGGAAATCTCTGTGATTACACATATGGCAAAAGCTCGCTTGAGGTCCATGTGCTCTGCAAGAACAGAAAGCCTAGATATTTGCCAGATTTTAAAAATCCACCCAGACACAAATTTTATTCCCCCCAAAGAGGATGTATTTGGGGGGAAATGGACATATGGCAAACCCTACCTTATGGCTTTGGCTCTGCATACCTGAAGGAGTATCTCCACCCCTATCATTTAGCCTGGACACTGAGATCCACTCCCCAGGGCCTTCTGGTGGTTCCCTCACTGAAAAATTACAGGGAACCAAGCAGAGGGCCTTCTCGGTAGTCATACCAGCTCTGTGGAACGCCCTCCCATCAGATGTCAAGGAAATAAACAACTATCTGACTTTTTGAAGACATCTGAAAGCAGCCCTGTATAGGGAAGTTTTTAAGCCAGTGTGGTGTAGTGGTTAAGAGCGGTAGTCTCGTAATCTGGGGAATCCGGGTTCGCGTCTCGTCTCCTCTCCTCCACATGCAGCTGCTGGGTGACCTTGGGCTAGTCACACTTCTCTGAAGTCTCTCAGCCCCACTCACCTCACAGAGTGTTTGTTGTGGGGGAGGAAGGGAAAGGAGAATGTTAGCCGCTTTGAGACTACTTAAAGGGAGTGAAAGTCGGGATATCAAATCCAAACTCTTTTTCTTCTTCTTCTAATATTTGGTGTCTTACTGTGCTTTAATTTGTTGGAAGATGCCCCTGGGGTAACCAAGTCAGATGAGTGGCATATAAATAAATAAATGATGGTGATGATGATGATGATGATGATGATGATGTGAACAGCCCTGAGATCTACAGGTATATGATGATACACAAATGTAATAAACAAACAAACATGCTAAATATTGCCATCCATGTGCACATGTGGAACCTAAGAATCCCAGAGCTTCATATGACTGAGGGTGACTCATCACTCGCAGCTTGGAAAACAACATAAACATGGACAGTTTGAACAATCTTAGAGAAACTTCCTTGTTCCCTTCCATGATGGAACCCATGCTATTGGCACATTGTTGTATAAAACTTACTGAAGCTAAGCTTAGGACCAAATCAAGTGTAAGGGCTACTTTATAATCACTGCTTTTTTGTTTTGTTTTTACTGTTACCGTCTATATCTCTTACTTGCTTTATTACAATCCCTTTAATAAAAGGCTTGACTTTAGAAGTCTTTATCTAACTAAGTATTATGCTATCTCAGGGTCTGTCTCACCTACTTACCTAACTTGCTTTGAGCTTATAAGAGGAGTTCAGAGGAAGCTACAGATTGGGCTCTGACCTGAACAGACCGAAGGAGTGCTAAGAGGACTATCCTACCTTCAGACAGAGGTAGTTTCAGGGTAGAGCAACTGGTTTGGTCTTACATATTTGCACCAGCACCACAGGAGACGCTGCAGCAATGATGTACAACAGAGTGCAAGAGGTGGGGGTGGGGGTCGCTGAATTTTAGTATTGCACAGGGTGCCACTCAAATTTGAGAGTTCAAAGTCCGCCACTGCTTCAGATTAATTTCCACAGCTAGGGAAAAAGGAATCAGAAAGAGAAGTGGTGTTGGCAGCTGGTTAAGATATTTAAGAAGGATATGCATCTCAGTTTTTTTTTCTCTCATAAAGGTGATGTGAAGTATGTATTTTGTTACAGGTTTTTGCTTTAATGCTGCCCCCCTCAAGTTCCCCCAGTGCGCTTGGGTTATGGAAAAGAGAAAGTCTTTTCACAAGATGCCTCTTTTGAAGAAATGCCTGGAGCTTGTCTTAAACCAGGGATAGAAACATGGTGCCCTCCAAACTCCATCAACCTAGGCCAGCATGGCCAACAGTCAGCAATGATGGGAGTTACAGTCCAACGCTATCTGAAGGGCTTCATGTTGGCTATCCCTGGTCTAAACCAAGCACTAGGCATTTCAACATTGTGACCTCCAGATTTTATTGAACTCCAACCCCCATCTTCCCTGACCTTGGGCTATGCTGTCTGGGGCTGATGAGGGCTGGAGTTCAACAACATCTGGAAGGCACAATGTTGGCTATCTCTGTTCTAAAACAACCTTCAGTTATTTCATCAAAGGAGCCAGAAAGTTTGGACTTTCTTGCAAAGCAAGCTGATGGTGGGTGACACCAGAGAACACTTGTTTCCCAAGTGTTCCTGCAGTCTGACAAAGGAAATCTCTCCGGCTTTTAAGCAAAGCCTTGACATTTATTTATTTATTTATTTATTATGAATGCTCATGTGGAAGAAGAGTCCAATTTTATTTGCTGGATCCCTTTTCTTCCTCAAGAGGGCTTCTTTTTGTTGAGGAGAGGCAGGCAGTTGATGGAGCAAAGTGTTTGAGTTGGATTTGAGTCGCATGCTGAACCTAGGGTTTTATTCACTGGCTAAGCACTGAGTGTGCCATCAATCCACCTCTTTTAGAAGCCTTGAGTTATTAATAAAGAGCCTGGTAATCTAACACCTGCTCTCAATCTTCCTTTTGGAGGGCATAAAAAGCCACAAGACCAGGCTCAGCAGTTTTCAGTTTCTCTAGCACTTGTTTTCTTGTGTGTTTTTTTTTTAAAAATCTCTGCCACCCCCCTTTTCCCCACCCTCCTGCTCACCTCTCACAATCTTAAGTGTCGATGCTTTATGCTTGGGGTTGGAAATGAAACGTGTTGTTATCATTGGGATAGTGTTTTTATCGCATAAATAATGAACCAAAGCAAGAGGAAATACTGGCACCAGTTGGAATTACTGCCTGGCCTGGGGTGAAAATAATCAATACACTCTCACTTACCAATCTCATCTGCATGTCGACTCCATCTCGTGGCCTGTCTCTCTACAAATTCATTTCATGGGAGGACCAATAAAGCATGTTACTGGCATTGATCTGGTTTATTCATAGCTAGGCATAGAAAATGCATCATCTGAAATTAATAGAACGGCTTGTGTTTATAACTGTGAAAAAGTAGCCTGGTGCCAGAGCATTGTGAGTGAATGGGTGCCTCACAAGGATATGGGAGAAAAAGATTGGGAGGACTGAGGAACTTTGTCCTGTGTGCTTGTATGTGTGCATGTACACACCACACACACACACACACACACAGAGAGAGAGAGAGAGAGAGAGAGAGAGAGAGAACATTGTAAGAAAAACCACCTCTGGATCAAACCAAAGGTCCATCTGGTCCAGTAACTTATTTTCCCATTGTGATCAGCCAGATCTGATCTGGATCTGATTACTTTCCGCAGGGCCTGTAAGACAGAGTTGTTCCGTCTGGCCTTTGGCTTGGAGCCAATTTGATTCCCTCCCCCTCTATCTTTTTCCTTTTTCCTTTCTCCTCCTGTGATGAGGCTGCATTTTAATATTTTAATGTTTCAATATCTTAATTGTTGTATTTTAATCTTGTTTTTAAGTTGTATTCATTCAACTTGTTTTTATTATTGCTTGTTAGCCGCCCTGAGCCCGGCCTAGGCTGGGGAGGGCGGGGTATAAATAATAGTAATAATAATAATAATAATAATAATAATAATAATAATAATTAGATGCCCCTGAAAAGCCACAACCACTAGAAACCTTAATTTCACTGGCATCAGTGACTTATTTCTTTAGTGCTGATCTGACTCTGGCCCTAACACCTATATTAGAGCTTCTCTTCTTAATAATACATTCCAGCAGGGGGAAGCACTTTTTGTTTGGGACCAAAGACTACTTATTTATCTATAAAAATGTGTAAATATGGCTATATCATAATGAATACCAAAGTGTTTTACAATATCTATATTAAAAATGCATTTAAAAATTAAAACCAGAGACCATTAACTAACTGTTACAGAAAAATATTTTCTCAATTGCTTGCCTAAACTTGGTGGACCACAAAAGTTTTCAGCAGGTGTTTAAAGGTTAAAACAGAAAAGACTTACTGAATCTCTAGTGACAGAGCATTCCACAGGCTTGAGCTGATGACAGTAAAGGTGCCACATGTTGTTAGTCATGTGCCCCCATCATCAGTCTGGCTGCTACATTCTGCATGAGCTGGAACTTTTGAACAAAGCCTAAGGACAGTCTCATATAGCACACATTGCAATAATCCAGCATCAATTTATCAGCTTTGGATTTAACACACACCTGCCAAGCACCTTGTTTTAAGAGGGACAGCCTCACTTTTTTAAGGCAACCTGGGCTCTGCCTTTATTCCGGGGTGCCCCGATTTTGCATGGCAGGTGGAAAAGCACTGCAGCAGGTGGGGAGGGTGAGCTGTGAGGGCAAGGGCGAGCAGAGGTGGCAAAGGATGTGACCACATGCAAAAGGTCCCCTCTTGGAAGTTCAAGAACTAGCCCTATGCTTGCCTAGCAAAATGTGCATTTGTGATTTTGGCTGCAAATCCCACATATATAACACTGACATCTCATCATCATTTGTTTGCCTTTGATTACATCATTGCATTATAAAACCTGATTGGTTACACAGATTGGCATAGCCTTCTTTACCATTGGCTTCCAGATGTTTTGAACTATTGTCATGTATGAATGTTGGGTTCAAGGAAGATGGCGAATTCGCATGATATGCTGGCAGGCGAAGCGAGAAACTGGTTATATCAAGGAAAAAATGTATAACTGTGTTCAAAAGAACATTGGTTTTGCTTAATGAAAGCAAAAAAAAACCCTGATGCAAAAATCCCCTGATAAAAACAGGACGTCACTGGCGATGAACAACAGTAATAAATATCCTCTGAAAAGAACAAAGACAAGGAGGAACTGGCAGTGGGCCACGGACAGATGATAAAGGCCTGAAACACGTATGTATTTCTGAGGTACAACAGCAAAGGTGATGTGGTGGTCCAGAAGGAGAACAGGAGGAGAGTGGTGGAAACTTAGTCGTTCTAAAAGCCAGCCCATAGACGCCAAGGGGGAAGACTATAAAAAGGGCACTCTGCTTACCCTCAGTGTTGCCAGGACCAGCGCTACAACCAGACACCCACAGCTCTTACGTGATGCTTGATCAACCCACATGAAGGGCCTTGTGTGAGTTTTTGTGTGAATGCATGAGTGTTCGAATCTCTTGGTACCAATGTATTAATGTATACTTGACTATATGAAATAAATGTTACATGAAAGGTGTGTAAACTCAGGTCTGGTCTCCGACGTGTCTTATTGAAAGCCCTATAGCATATGGGATCTCACTTGTCTCTCTGGATTTCAAAAGAACCAAGTTACCATGGTTTGGTGACATTATCACTCCCATCAAGCACACTGGTATATTCTATCAGGGATGACAGGAGTTGTTATCCAAAACACCTGGAGAGCACCAGGTTGAGGAAATCTGTATAGGGTATGGATGCTTTAGAAATAAAGTGGAAAGCATAGATATTTGAATTAATACATAAGAATCCCTAGTTGGGTAAGATCACCTATCTCATGTGATCAATTCAGACAGGATGATTCAGTAATTGCTATGGGGAGGTAGGGTAGTAGTTAAGAGAAATAATGGCACTGAACAGGATTGGGAAATAAGAATATTTGCATAGCTTAATTTTCAGAGAATATTTGCACTCTGTTATTACATGTACATTCCATTCTACTTTAAGAAAATTCAGCATGCCTTATAATGGGAGCCTGGAATAATTCCATGCAGGCACTGGCCAGAGTGAGACAGAGTAGTAAGCTTGTGCCATTCAACCCTTGTGGGGACACTTTATTTCTCCAGGATCTAACCCAATATTTTGACCAGCTTCTGGCAGATTTGTTAGGTAATCAATTTTTAGTAAAGAAAAAACCAAAAACAAAACAAAAACAAGACAGTTATTTGACAAATATATATGAATAGGCTGTGAAGCCACTGGGAGGAATTTCCATAGTACAAAACTGAGAGAAACTCTAAATATCCTCAGAATAATCAGGTGGATTGAAATCTTGCAATATTAACTTGATGGATGGAATCAGTTAAAAGCAAGTAAACTGTAAACTGTAAAGTGAGTACAAAAAGCATTTAGCAACTGACAGCCCTGTTTCAGAAGGCAAAGCAGAAAAGGAATAGTGAAGTGCTTAGGCCAGCTACACAGAGGAAGGTCAGGCAGAATACAGTAGAAGCTGAAAGTATAATTTATTGGCCAAACAAAGCCAGTAAAGGAGTGGGGAGAAAAAACCAAAGATGTCAGAAATCCTTACCTGAAGAAACAGATAACTATGAGAAATGCTGTGCCAGTTTAAAATATGTTGTGGTCCCTGATTTGTTGGAATCACCTGTGCAACTAAAGCAGGAAAGGGAAAGAGGCCATAACCGGAGAAAACAAAAATGACCATGAAGTTGACGTCATGACTCTTAGACTGGGATTACCAAGTCTTGTCATGACTTAGTGTCAGAGACATAGCTAAAATGAATGCCTGGGAAGAGTCAAGCTCTGGAGATGAAGGACTGCCAGTACAGAGAGAACCAGAGTCTGACCCTGGAGACGAAAGAGTGCAGACAGAGCAGGAGGGGGTTAGCTCAGATAGAGCAGCACTCAAGACAGTTCACAGGCAGGGGGAGGAGAAGAGATAAGACGACATTCAGGGGGTTGCTATGCAACCAGTAGAGAAACAGTGTTCAGAGAAAATAAAAAAAATACTTCCAGTAGCACCTTAGAGACCAACTAAGTTTGTTATTGGTATGAGCTTCCGTGTGCATGCACACTTCTTTGGTGTTCAGAGGGCTCTTTGTTTGAGAGCGGGGGGGGGGGGGAGAGAGATTTCCACCCACCTTCTCCCCAAATCAGAAGAGCTGAAAGGGTTAAAGTACAATGGAAGTGTAAAAGAGGAAGGACTTTGGTGCCCATTGTGCTGTGACAGGGGTGGGGACTCAGACTCAACTCATAGCTAATGGCGGCAGGCCTGGAACCACTGGATGTAAATAAACGTGCATAAACGAGGAACACTGCCCAGCTGTGGGGCATGAAGGCCGCTCCCTGCAAGGCCCTTTCCACCTCGCCTAGGGGGCCGGGTCCAGACTCACCAGCTCTGCTATGTTAAATATGTGTTCTGTAGTTGACCTCCTTTGTGATGTTTTATTTTGAAATCTTTAAGATAACATTTTAGTTTTCTGTTATGTGGTGTAATTAAACTGATACAACTTGTTTGTTCAAATTTTGGGTGATTTGCACCCCCAGATATCTAAAACTTTTCCTAGCTATTGGAACCTTCAACCTTGCTGTAAAAGTCTGTTGTAAATGAATGGGGTGGTGTATGAAAAAGCATTACCTCTGCTTTCTTAAAAGTTTTTTTTGCAATCCTGAGACCCTGGAGAACTGTTCCAACTCTGTACATAGTACTTTGCCTGCTGTGATAGGGTCAGAGGTGCATAAAATTATATCCTCTGCAAAGAGGCCTGAATTTTGTTCACTTCTGTTTGTAACCACTCCTGTACGAGGAGGTCCCAGGGTGGTTTGGGGTCCTACCTGCTGGAGGACCAGAAGCATTTCCTTGTTTGCGGCTGATGGCATAGGGACAGGGCTCCCAATCTGGACAGTGGGGTTCCTCTGTTCCAGTGGAATGGGGCCTAAGGTTCCGTGATGGTAGAGGCCCACCCTGGCTAAAGATTTAGGCACCGGCTAAACCTTACACCTGTTAAGCTCACCTGTTTCTATAATTTGGTGACAAAAATCATCATTTATCTAAAGAACAATTGCTATTTCACACTCTCACACTCTCACATGCTTTTGGTTCTGAATCAATGTGGATCATTAATGGATATTTACGGATTTATCTACTGCTTTTCCTCCCAAACTGATGTTTTGTGTTGTTGCTCCCTAGAAACTCTTGGTTTGTAAGCTGCTTTGGACAAGTGCGATGTACATTGTTCTACAAAATGCAATGTAGATAAATAGTAGTACTGAAAATAAATATATGTTTTTGAAGGAGCCTCAGATTTTATTGGCACATCTAGTGAAATATATATTCAAGAGTAAGTCCCACTGAAGGCCATTGAATGGGCCTTAGTCATGGCTTATCTAAGCCCCATGAGGGGTACTGGGACCTTGACTAACTGGGGTGGCTTTTAAGGGAATCTGCCTTTCTCCCTTTTCTCTTGCTGTCTATCACAGCACTCACTTGCATGTATGTTACTGTCTCTAAGTTGTCCAAAGATTTCATCCATCCCCAGCTATAAATCCTTAACTTCTCAGCTGGCTTCTCTGTCTGCTTCATGGGACAATGAAGCAGAACAGGTGAACATCTAAATGGTACAATTTCCTACCTGCCATGTTGACAGGAATGCTGACACAAAAAACACAAATATCTAATATGATAGCACGCTTACTGAACAACGTCCGGTAAGAAGTGGGCAACGGAATAGTGATGATGCAAAGTTGTTTCTTGCTGTCTCTACGGTAACCCTGCAGAATGTGAGGAGGGGACTAGGAGAATATCAGAATCAGATGATGTCATCATGGAAGGTGGAAGAGCAGCACAGGGGTGAGAATAGGGTGATCAGTTCACCCTGTTTGACCATTATCTACACAAATGCTCCCTACATGTTTAAACATAGTCATCTGAATTTTCCTTTGGAGTTTGTTACTATCTTCCATGGAGACAATGTTGGAGAAAGAGAATTGCAGTCTGGAGATGGTCAGCCGAGAGGAAGTTGTAGGAAGTACTCAAACCGTACAGTTCCTGCCTTTGTAACTTATCCCCACAATATCAAAATAAGCTCCAATAGACAAAAGGGGAAGACTCAAGAGCAGCAAGTGCAGACTTAGAGCACTCCAAGCAGGCTTTGGAAGGCACAGCACATTGAATGATTCCTGCCCTTCTCAGAGGAGGAGGAGACGAGTGGTGGTGATAGGTGTCTCCCAACTGAGGGGAACAGAGGCACCAGTGTGCAGAGGAAACAGGATGTCCTGGGAGGTGTGCTGTCTTTCAGGTGCAAAGATTGATGATGTGGCGGAGAAGTTGCCAAGTGTTATCAAGCTCACTGAGCACTACCCCTTCCTTCAGATTCGTGGGTACAAATGATACTGCCATGCACAGCCTTTAATGTATAGCAAGGGACTATGAGACTCTGGGCATGGAGCTGAAGAGCCTTGGGGCACAGGTGGTCTTTTCATCACTCCTTCCTGTTGAAGGTCATGGCCCAGGAAGAGAGAGGGGCTGTGTTGTGAGGCACCCACTGTGTGTCCCGAACCTCACTTGCCAATGCTATAAAGACATCCAGGAGGACAAGGAACACAACTTTGAGGCAGTGTGGCATGACAAAAGCCACCTGAACGAATATTAGCTCCTCAACAAACCAACCAAGGTGTTTATCCCTTGAGTACTGCTGGCATTATAAAATTGTCATCCCCAGCGAGATAAGAAACATCAAGTTATCCTGGATGCCAAAAGAATATGAAGATGTTAGAAGTAACTTATGACTCTGCGGCCCTCCTAAAATCACACCGGCAGAGGTCAATGAGCTGTTTTGGTCACAGAACCATTTGAGCAGTTCAATTCTCGTCCTCTGCGGGAAGGAGTATTCCACATTTGGAATACTATACAGTGCACAGTCCTGGCCTCTCTACGTCAAAACAGGTCTTTGAGACCTGGAAAAGGTGGAGAAAAGAAAAACCAAAATTATCAAGGGGTTGAAGTAAGTCCCTTATGAGGAAAGGTTGGGGCCTTTTAGTTTAGAGGGAAGGAGGCAGTCTTTCAAGTATTTGTCACATTCTGAGTCACAATGACCCTTGGTCACCTCTGTTGCCCTTCCTCTGGGCAAACCCACCCTAAGAACATCAGAAGAGTCTGCTGGATCAGGCCAATGGGTTTAAAAGAAGATCAGACAAATTCATGGAGGAGAAGGCTGGCAAAAGCTACTAGCCACAATGACTATTCCCTGCTTCTAAGGTCAGAAGTGATAAATGCTTCTTAATTCCTGAAATTTGTGGTTTTATCACTTGAGTAGCATGTTGGGTGGGGAGAAAGAGGTCCCAATGTTTCCCATGATGCTCTGCAATTTTTGGTGAGATAGAAGATGGATAGATAGATCGATAGATAGAGGTATATTCATATACCACCAACTCCTAAAATATCTACATGGTGATCAGGATATAAGCAAGTGCAAAATAATCACTAAAATGTTTGCCTGCTCAAAAGTAATTTAAACAGCTACACTTGGCATACAAAGGTCTGCAAGAGACGCTACACAACCCCATGACTATGAGACCCTTCAAACCTAAAGCAGCTCAGGCACACTGTCAGGTGCCAACTGAGAGGTTCGATGAGCTTCTTAGGAAATTTGATGTAGGTCTGAGCCACATGGCAGACTCTTCTGATAATAACAAGGTGGGCAAAAGGAAAAGCAAAATAGCAGGATATGGATAAGTTTCAAAGGCTCTAGTAGAGCTAGCTTCGCTTCCCAAAGAGGTAGAGCTACCTATAGATCTACAGCAAGTTATTCACTTCCAGGACACCAATACCTAGCTCTTCTCAACTCTGCACAATTTCCTCTTGAGTCCTTCTCCTCTACCTGTTTTAAGAAGTAAAACTACATTTTCTACAATACTCAGATATGCTTTGGGAGACACACTTTTGTGAAGGTGCTAGTATGCTAAAGATTATTTACAGAAATACTGTAAAATTAATGAATGTTAGAAAAATGTTGGAATGAAGTTACATGGCTTTAGTAGAAATGTTATAAGGAATTAAGTATAAATAGATTAATAGAGTATTAAAGGAAAAATAAGGTTAGAATGAGTTAAGATAATTATAGGATAGAAAACAGAGGAAGATGGAAAGGAATTGCTGAAATAATTAACAGAAGTGGAATACAAAAAGGGAGGTGTGAGGAGGTCGTGGAAATAAGTGAATGAAAGATGGGATAATGAAATTATTTGATTTATTTTATTGTTTTTGTTTTGTTTTGTTTAATGTATTGTATTGTTTTTTGTTTTTTTTTAGTGTTTAAATTTTTTGGAAAAGTAATAAATATTATTATTTTTTTAAAAAGATTTGCTTCTGCATGCACTGAGTGACACACTCTTCTCATACTATTGAACAATATTGAGCACAATAGTGTTCAAAGGTAACCTTGGAGGTCATCTAATCAAACTCAGAGCAGGAAGTTTGCAGCTACAGCATCTCTGACTGTCGAAGGGTGCCTAATCTGTGGCTTTCTATATGTTGTTGGATTACAACTTCCATAATCCCATGGTAGCTAGGACTGATGGGAGCTGGAGTCTAGGGACATCTGGAGGCACACAGCTATCCCTGCAGTATGTAGTGCAGTTGAATCACATAAATTAGAAAATCACATTATAGAAAACGGTAATAACCTTGCCAAGCAAAATACACAAAGTGTGGCACCTACAGCATTACACTACACAGCGTTAGTTTCCATATGAGTAAAACTAAACTGGAGATTAAAAAAGATAGCTTCCAAACAGCTACTCATCTTCACGTTACCAGCACCCCTCTCCATGTCTATTGTACAAGAATGCAGAATGTATCATATCCTAAGAAGAAATCACAAGGTGTGCAAGAGAAGCTACACACTGGGCTGCCTTCCCCTCCTTTCTCACCTGTCTATAAAGGCTGGCTAGCTCCCTCCCTGACCTAGCTGTGCTCTGGTGTCCAGGCAGAGAGGGGGATGCTGGTCAGCAGAGCAGGCTCTATGACCTTAGTGAGTAGCTAAGGGAGGCATTGTGAGCTCCTCATTCAGGGGCTGTTTAAAAGGCCAGGCCGGCACCCTACAAGCTAGCTATAGTGTAGCTATGTATATGTTATATGAGATATGCTATATGAAATGTGTCATATGATATAAGAGATTGTTAATAAAGGAAAAGAAGAAAAGAAGAAGAGGCTCCTCATGAGGCTGGAGGAATATCGCCCAGCTGTGGGGCATGAAGGCCGCTCCCTCCAAGGCCTTTTCCACCTGGCCTAGGGGGCAGGGCCCACAATCACCAGCCCTACTGTGTTAAATATGTATTCTGTAGTTGACCTCCTTTGTAATGTTTTATTTTGAAATCTTTAAGATAATATTTTAGTTTTCTGTTATGTTCCTTTGACTGTATACTCTATATTTGACTTTCTTCAGATTGTTTTATTTATGTTTTATTGTTTTAATATGCTGTAAACCGCTTTGAGATTTTTCCTAAAAATATAAAGCTGTATGGAAATTAAAATATAAAAAAACTGCCAGCGACATTAATTCTTATCAGAGCTTGCTTGCCTTCCTGAGATCATTACACTTAGGATAGTAAGAGTGGGGAAACTAGGCTGTTGATCAGGCTGCACATTAGTACTGTGCACAAAATTTGACTATTTAGAGGGACTTTGGCATTGAATGAGTTGGGTTCAGACAGCCACTCATTGCTACAGGTTGTGCTGGGTGGCACAGAGCAGTCTGTGTCTTCCAGTGGATGGGACACCAGGCATGTTGGATGAAACCCCATGAAAAGCCAAGACCTACTTCTGTTCACCAACTGGATCTTCCACAAGAAGCTTGGCCTAACTTCCTCCCTTCCTTTGCTCCTGCCTGATACCTCTCCCACCTAGATTGCGCTCACCACTCAACAGCTATTGAGAACAGGGAGCAATCCTGTAGGGTGTGGTTGTGGCTCTGCTCCTGAAGGAAAGCCGCACACACACAAAAATCCCTCCAATCAACAGTTGTTGAGCAGAGAGAGTGATCTAGAGGGAAGCAACCCCCAGTCTCAGTTGCAGAGGAAAGAGATGCAAGATCTTCTCCCATCACTTCTCAACTATATGCTCAATTAGAGTTCTGAACCTCTAATTGCATATTAGCCCTGCACCTGACCTTATTCAGGACAGGATCTGGGGCAGGGGGTGTCCTCAGGTCAACTCAGAGTAAGTCAACCTGATGTCCACCTCTGATTGGAGCCATGTGGGACATCGTGTGTGTTTTTGGGGGGGGTGCTGTCACGGTGCAAGCATGGACACAAGATGAAGCTTGGTCTCACAAGTTTTCTTCATTCACATTGATTTGCAGACACCTTAAACCTATACCCAACTTGCACCCATTCTCTTCTTTTGCATTGCCAAAGGTAGATAAACACCTGAGTTTGAACCCAAATAAGTCATATTCAGAATCTATTTATTTTAACAGGTCTCCTCTACAATTTAGTTGGATAACAATTTTTAGTTATACTCATGACTCTCCAGTCAGGGACTCCCACCATCATCAAGGCTGGGAAAAGCTCCAAAGAGTAGCAAAGTCTCTCTGCTATCCAAGATATGGAAGTATTCTCTGCAACTGTCCATTCTATTGACTGCTTTTGGAGCTCTTCCAGATCTTTGCCTTCAGGCAGACCTGTCTGTTGTCTTCGTTCCCTCCCCCTCCCTGTTCTGAGGCCAGGCTGTTCCAGACTGTGCAAGGAATGACACTTGCACCCAAGAGGCTCTTTTTTACAGTCCTAATACAAAATGGCTTCTCCTGGCTTCTCCACTCATTTTCAAGTTCCTGAAAACACTTTTAAACAAAGAACAAAACACTTGCCAAGGGAAATCAATGAAGAATGCTCTAGACACAATTTCTAAAACAATAACCTTTTGCAGAGAACTTGAAAACACCAAAGCAAGAGGAAATGACAGCAAAAAAGAGAAAGAAAATGGCTGTGAAATCCAAAGATGTTGTTGTTGTTTATCATAGACCATGTCAAAAGAATTAGTGCAGTGTGTGGTAGGGTCATTTAGAGGGCAGCTCACCCAGTGAATGCCAAGAGCATGTCTGCTCTTCCAACCACTTAAGGCAAGGCAATGACAGATAATTCCATTAAGGGAAGCCAAGACCCTGTTTGTGGAAGGCAAACAGCACTTAGCTGGTTTACATGTTCTGCATCTTTCCAATCTAGGAAGGAGGAAAAGACGGTCCAGAGAGCTTTTATCAGAACTGCTGGGACTGATTCATCCAACTCTTTCTGAAATAGAAGAGTCATCAGAAGATGGCACCTCCCATAAATGTTCTCATTGTAAAATGCTTCTTCTGGAAGGGTCTCCATGTTCCTAAATACATATAAGTTTCCATGATTTAGTAATTTAAGCACATTAAGAGCAAGTGTGGTGTAGTGGTTCAGAGCGGTAGTCTTGTAATGTGGTGAACCTGGTTCGCATCTCTGCTCCTCCACCTGCAGCTGCTGGGTGAAGTGTGAAGTCTCTCAGCCTCACTCATCTCACAGAGTGTTTGTTGTGGGGGTGGAAGGAAAAGGAGAATGTTAGCTGCTTTGAGACTCCTTAGGGTAGTGATAAAGCGGGATATCAAATCCAAACCTGCTGGATTAGACCAATGGTTGATCTAGTTGCCTTATACCCAGACCATCTAGCTCTGAATTCCATACCCTGTTCAGTGGCTGTCCAGGATTTCAGAGATAGTTCTTTTCTGCCTATACCTGGAAATGTTTGTTGGGGGGGGGGGTTGTATTGGAGACCTTCTGCATTTAAAACAGATGTCCTACTACTGAGATATGGCCACTTTCCCCAAATGGCCAAACAGTGGGCAAAAAAGATATCCATGGGAAACTCCCAAGCAGTACATGAGGAAAAGAGCACTCTCCTATTTTCCCCAGCACCTGGTATTCAATAGCATCCTGCCCTTGTTTCTGAAGGCTGTACACAACCATCATGACTAAGAGAAATTTATAAATACATTCTCAATCAATTATTTCCTATTCCCTTTTTAAAGCCATCACATATTGTGGCAACAAGTTCCATAAAGAAATGTGAAATTCTACACATGTTTGCTCAAAAATAAGCCACACTGAGTACAATGGGACTTACTCTGCCTCCCCCCCTCCCCCGATCAATATGTATAGAATTGCAACCTTACAGTTATGCAAGGTGTGAATAAAAGTTTATTTTAGTCTTTCCTGGGTCTCATGCCAACTCTTGTATGAAAACTAAGATACAAAGGTGGGGATGTTTTCTCCTTGAGATGTCTGTTACCAGAGCATTTTGCTATTCTTTTTATTGATTTTGTACTTTCCCTGCAAGAGGCCTCAATTGTATTGGCATTCTGCCAACCTTTAAGATGCTCTCATTTACACCAACATTCCCTTAACCTCTCAGCTTGGGTATCCTTTTTAATTGCTGTGCTGTTTTAATAGGATTCTTTTAGTATGTATTTTAATTATGTATAGAGAGAGAGAGAGAACAAAGCGTTTTTATGTTTTGTAAGCTACTTAGAAGCATGGGAATTCCATTCCTGGCCCTTTCATGTGTTGGCAGAGTGCGCATAAGCCCACTCAACTCCACTTTGCCATGCCCTTGTTCCACCATGCCCCCAATCCACCTTCATTCTGCCCTCTTCCAGCTCCAAAGGGACCTACATGTCAGTGGTCACTCATCAATTGGATACTTGCAAAATGGTATCTGCCTGTATTATAATACAAGTGACACTAAATGATAATGCTGTCTCAGTTTTCTTATATCAGCGACTTCATCTTGGCTGTGAGTCATGGAAGACCTGCTCGCTGTCTTTTATCACCTAGCCTGGGAGGGTGGGGCACTGACTGACTCCACCTACAAAAGCTGAGACTTCTGAAAAGACTCGTGGGCTGGGGTATTGTATGTGGAGGGATGTTGCGGGGGGGGTTGTTGCTGTTATTGATATTAATTTTTGTATCTATTTTTATATCTTATGATTTATGTATTAATTGTTTGGTTCTGTTGTGTATTTTTTGATGTGTTTTATTGTTTACAGCTACTTTTGTTATGTTTGCAATTATAGTGGTACCTCGAGTTAAGAACATAATTCGTTCCAGAGGTCCGTTCTTAACCTGAAATGGTTCTTAACCTGAAGCGTGCTTTCACTAATGGGGCCTTCTGTTGCCGCAGGAGCACAATTTCTGTTCTTATTCTGGGGCAAAGTTCTTAACCTGGAGCAACCACTTCCTGGTTAACAGAGTTTGTAACCCGAAGCGTCTGTAACCCGAAGCGTCTGTAACCCGAGGTACCACTGTATGTAAAATCTTTTCATGCTATAAGCTGCCTTGAGCATGGATTTAACTATGGAAAGGCAGCATACAAATAAAATAATGATGGTGGTGATGGAATTCAAACTTGGATAAATGGCTTCCCACATAGTCTTCCATCCTCATGCTGTCCAGATACAGTGCTGCTTAGACTGTGGTGAGAAGTTGTGGAGTCTGTGGGTGGCATCTGCAGCACTTCTTACTTGAGACTTATGTGAGTGCATTTCAATCCATTTTGGTCAAGTTAGTGTGCAAATTGACATTGCCTGCTGGGAGATCTATTGCTTAGGGTCTAATGACTTAGCAGTTCACAGCAATGTCTGCCACTCCCTCCCCTCCCCCAGCTGAACTGGATCATCTAGCTGGGCTGGTAGAATAAAAGCTGGGCTACTTTGGGGCAGCTGCATCACCAGTTAGGATGCCACCAAAGGGGTTCACACCTTGGAGGGAGAGCAAGGACAAGGACCAGCTCCTTAACATCATCTGCTATGGTGTCAGCCTTGTCCTAATTATTTCAATTTGTTTAAAACTGATTTTAATTGGTGGGGTTTTTATTTTTGTTGCTGTGTAAGAGAAATAAAATATGTGTCCGGGAGGAGACGAGTGGGAGAAAGGGGGGGAGGGGACAATTGCAATGAGGGGGTATAGT